TATCCGGTTTCCTTCTCTGTAAGTTTTTGTCCGTATTTATCTATAATAGTCTGGAGTTTTTTCATGACCTTCTTACTTTCATATGTTTGTTGTTTTTCATAGTATGAACTGTTTTCTAGCACAGAAAGACACAATGATTTGTAATATTCACGATCCATAATGACCACTGCGCTCCCTTTGTCCGCTTCCTTAATGATAATGCTTTCGTCATTCTTTAAATTATCAATCGCATCCCACTCTAATTTTGTTAAGTTGTTTTTAATAGTATGTTTATTGCTAAGTTGTTCGAGAGGAAAGGTTTTAACTGTATTTATGAATTTATCTAAGTTTTGGTTCCTACCTTTAGGTGGCATAAAGTCACTTTTATTGGCTACAATAGATTCGTCATCATTCTCCTTATCTAAGAAAAATTCAGCTAGTCGTAATCTTCTACAAAAAGCGTCCGTGTCATTTGTAATTTCCTCTATGTGTTTTGAGCGTGGTGGAGGGGTAAATTTTAATCCCTTTTCAAGTACTTTAATTTCAATGTCAGAAAATATTCGATTCGATAAATTAATCACTTTTGGTTCGTGCTTTTGGTCCGGGTCCTTGCTTTGTGTTACGTTATTTGGTTTTGTCTGGGGCCATATCCTAAAAAAGAATTTCTAGGTGTTGTATAATTCCTTCGCTGTTTCCTGTTTTGTCTGTATGGTCGCTCATGGTAAGGAATCACCGGGCGTCCTTGGTTTCTGTCGTATGTCCTAGGATTGCCGTGTGACGGGTAACTGTTATAGTTGAAGTTAGAATTAGTAGTAGGTTGGTAATTCCTTGATTCTATGCTACTTTCTTTCCTTGACTTGACATTTCCTGATTTCATGAAAGGATTTTTGCCTTCGTATTCCTGTTGGAATTGTGTCTCATATTTTAGGAACCATGTTTCCGATTTCATCCATCGTTGTATTGATTTCTGTTCTTCACATAAACATTCATCTTTCCACATGCGCAATAATGTGCTTAAAGTAGATTCGGGCATCTTATTTTCCAAGAATGTAAGGACTTTGTTGTCAATGGACTGGTATTTATCCTCATTGTATTTTGCCCGCATTTGTAGTAAATCTATTTCCCCTTTAAACTGCTCTAATACTAACCTTTCTCTTCTTACTCTCTGGTTTTCGGGCTCTCCTTTTATTATCGGAATTTGTATTTTCCGGGGTATTGTTTTGGGTCCTGAACTTAGCCAAGTATTGTAGATTTTCGCCTTTTCCGCGTTTTTCATCATGTTCCAAAAGGCTATCCTTCTGAATTTTAATTGTTGATTCCAGAACTGTATGTGTCGTTGTTTTTCCGATAGTGCCTTTATTTCGTCTGGGTCCTTTTCAGGAGTTGCTTCAGTAGATAACATGTTATAGTTGGAATTTGTATTCTCTCTTGCTGACGTGGTTGCCATGGTAAGTGGCTCGCATTGTTGATTATTATTAAATTGCTTGAAATTTTGCATGAAATCCTTAATATCTGATGTATCACTTTGGATTTTTTCAAGACTTTTACGTTGGTTTTCACTTACTTCAATTTTAAGTTTGATTTCCCGCAGATCATCCGTAAGTGAATCAAGTTTTTCTGTAATCATCTTGAGGCTGTCTTAAGACACAGAATGACCGTACACCGACAGCAAATTAGGGAACCAAAATACCGATGTACCCCCGTCAGTGACCATATTAGAAACTGTGCCAAGAATAAAAGTCCCAACTTTACCGTTTTTCCCTTTTACAAGTTTCGAAGGGATACCACAGAAAAAGAACGTGAAACCAAAGAAAAACTTTTTATTAACAGATATAAACCTGTTTTAAATGTTACATAATTATATTTTGTATCAGATATATACTTTTTTCCCGCAATTTATATCTGTATTATTTGTATGGAAAATTTAATTTCCCGTATTAAATTTCTTACGTTATGTCATGACGTCATAATTAACTTTACTAATGCGTAAATTCACATTAGCGCTTTTTGACGTCACAGTAAGAATATTGATTTTGTATTTATGTGTAACTAAGCAATATTTTGTCAAACTCCTGAAGATTGAAAATGAAACCGGTAGAGTTTATTTCGGTGTTGTGATTTTTTTTGATATACGACTACGTGTGTGGATTTATTTTATATATATATATATATATATATATATATATATATATATATATATATATATATATATATATATATATATATATATATATATATATATATATATCACAGGTATTGATTTTACACTTTTACACTGTTTTTTTTTTTTTTTTTTTTTGGTTTTTTTTTTTTTTTTTTGGTTTTGTTTTGAAAGCGATAGAGATATGAGAATTGATAACATGGATCAAAAAATATAAAATAATAGTTTCCCGAATGTTAAAAAAGTTTTTAACGAGTCGGTCGGGAGAGAGCAACCAAACAAATTTTTAAAGATGTCTTCATTGATTTGTTTATATCAATATTTAAGGAATGAATTTAATAGCTGCCCATGTTATACGGTATAAAGTGGGTTTGGACAGTTTATGCTTTATAAACCGCGAAGCGGTTTATAAAAAAAGCGTAAGCTGTTCCAATACCAAGCGGACATATCATGTCATTACTTTATCCTCCAGTACTGATTATTTATCTCTCGAAGTTCCTTTGATTTCCAGCATTGAATTTGTTAATTAAGTCTTTGTGACGTAAAATAAATTGTTGTATCAGATGTTTCTGGTTGAATAAATGTACTAGCTATAGACTCGTCACGATTTTTCGTTTTATTGCTTTCCGTCCATGAATATTTCCTAATCGTGATGGATTTTTCCAATCTGACTAGTCTTCCTGAAATTTTCAATCCTTGTCTATCGATATTCGCAAACATGCTGCTTTATAAGTTCTAGAATTTACTCCAACTCCAATTTACTCGTCATCGTTTTGTAGAACATGATTGTGTTGAAGTATATTTTGCTTCTGCCTAAATTTGACTTGAATTCTGTAACTTCTGGTTGATTTTTAGTTTACCGTTGAAACCCTGTAGGTATCATCCTTGTCTGTCCGTCTGTCCCTCCACCTATGTGTCAGTATGTCCCACTTAAAGTTTTCCGCACTTTTTTTCTAAACTCTTGCAGATATTGTTGTGATTGTATCTTGATGAGTTACAGAGCAAGTGTTCGTTTCACCTCAATAATTTTTTTACCGAATTATGGCCTTTTAAATTTTTAATGGGAATCAGATTTTCCACTTGGTTTTTGGAACTATTGTTCTTAACGCTTGCAGATATTGAGCTGATATCTTCTCTTAACATCTTGTTTCGTTTTGGTGCCACTGAATATTGTGATATTCTCCTTCTATGATCAACATCAAATATGCCAAAGTCAAATCCAACTTCTTCCCATTGTTTTTTTTTTTCCTTTTTATTATGATTTCATGTGTGAAGACTTTCATTAATTGTTTTCATTGAATATTATTTCTCCTAAGCTTATACGTATGTAAGTTTTGTAACGCCTTTCTAGCCCTCAAGCGTAATTTAAAAAAATGGTATGAATTGTGGTGCGAAGGAATTAGTTAGTTCAGATGTTTTAATAGTTTGACCGTGTTTAGAATTACCCTTCAGTACCGGCCTTTGTTCACCATTGAACTCATATTTGAATTCTTCACAAGGAAATTAAAAACACAACCATTTACTAAAAGTTTTCTATAATTAATTGAACTTTCAACGTTTTCACCAGGTTTGTCTTCACATAATACACATCTTCGATGAAGACATTTTACGGTCAAAAACATTAGAGCTCAGAAGTGCATGACTAGCCATCCCAAATACTCTTTGTTCTTAGTATGTCTTAGTGTAGTTCTTTAACATGTATGTGGTATAATTATAATTTTCTTGTTTGAAGTTGGAACCTACCACCCCCACCCCCCTTCACGAAATAGGTTTTTGGCAATTTTGTCTTCAAATTTCTTTAGACTGCCCCTCCCCTACTTTGAAAAATGATACAATGTGGGGATATTCTGCGGTATAGAAAAATTCCCTAGAGCACACAACCTATATTTAAGTTATCATGATTTTAAATGTACAGCCAAACCTCGTTATCTTGAACTCAAAGGGACCGAGAAAATACTTCGATAAACCGAGGATTCGAGATATCCAGGGTAAAGTATTTAAGTAAAAAGTAGTTGGGACTTCGAAATGACTTTGTTATATTCATAACATTCAAGATATCCGTGTTCGAGATACCGATGTTCAGCTGTATTTTAAATGGACATTGCCCTGATCCAATTCCAATTTTTTTTCTTTCAATTTTTAATTTTTTTTTCCATTTTCACAACTCATTTTGGGTATTATTATGTAAAAGAGGACCAGTGCTTGTTTTGCTTACAAATGAATGTCTGTAATCAAATGTCACATTTCCAGCAAAGTGACTAATAAGAAACATAAGTTGTTTATTTTTAATGCGAAAAACCAACAGTTATAATTGTAGGGATTTTGTGTGTTGTAAACATTCTAGGGAAAGAATAATAAAGAGGGAAAATTGATAACCGAGGTACGATAAAACAGTTCAACTGTAAGGGGAAGAGAAGATTTGAAACAATAATCCGGGGGAGTTTTGCAAACAGATCTTTCCGGGGGGATTTTATTTTGCAACTCCAGGGGATGCTTAAGAACACCTGTCGTAAACTGGGACCCACGGCCCAATTTTATTCTTACCGAAAAGCATACTTTCCAGATTCTTTAGTGTCAGTTACTTCTTAAGTCATTTTCATTGATGGATTCTGCGTGCGAAGCTTTTGAGTTTTATCGATAGAAACATGATCCTAGAAATTAAAAAAGCTAAAATGTATTTTAGGTTTTATCTGTTATCATCTCCAGCTGTTACATCATACATACACGTTGACAGAATTGAGTATTTGGGGAAAGAAGCTATGTGAAATTTATTTCAGAACTATAACATTCTTAATGCTGTTTGTTTTCTCTTTTTCTTAATTTACAAGTAATCGTTGTAATTTAGGGTACCTAATGTGATCGATATGCGATACATGAAAAAAGATTATCATCATATGCAGTGGTTTTTACAAACTTTGGCGGGAATTCTGACCTGGTAAGTCTCAAGTTTGCATTCGTTTTATGGTTGTTGCATTCTCTTTTATAGTCAATTATAGTGCATATGTGTATCTTTATACATACAGCTCCTTGATTACCTGGTGTATAATCATTCAGTATAAAATGAACGAGCTTCAACACAATCTTACCCAACTGGAAAGCAAAAATTCATTTCAATTTACAGAAATTAAGAATTGGCAAGATCTACATGGAAAGGCTTTCAGCAATTTTGAAAAAGAATTATTAAGTCTGAAACTATCTACAGAAAACTTGGCCCAGTCTGTAGAACAGCAATGGAGTCAAACCAAGACGACAATAGAAAAACAATTTCAATTACGCAAAGACATGACAAGATGTTCTGAAGATTTACTCAACCTACATGCAGTGTATGCGAAACATTTCACTTACCCACAAACATACGTGGATAAGGCAAAAGATGAACTAAAACTTCAATTTGAAGTCGAAAAAGGGAAAATTTTCAAAACTCTTTATGAAGAAAAATTAAACAATTTCCATGATATACTTGAGATACACTTGACTAAATATGAGTCTCTCAAGGTAGTGAAATTCGATTCATCGAACCAACATGCATCTGAATCACGTTTGACAAAGAAAGTTCTGATGCAAATGTTTAATGATTTAAAGACATCAATGAAGAAATGGATAATGACGTTAAAAAGTACTTTATATTTTTGGCAAGGACGTATACATCAACAGGTCTCAGAAATAGACGAGATTAGACTTTGGACTGTGAGATACGTCCAACAAAAGTTAAAACATAACAAAAAATTCATAGATGCATTGAATATACATATGAAAAACAGCAAAAGAGGAATATTGGCTTTGAACGATACAATCAATTCGGTGAAAAGCTTTTGGTTCTCTTATCCAAGTTTTGCAAACAAGTTTGGACATGAAATGAAAAGGAAATGCTCCAAAGCACTCAGGGGAATGGAAACATTACAATATAAACCCGGTAACATATATTTTAAGTATGTATTTTGTACATTTTTGTCTGTAAGAATATTGAATATGACCCTTTTTGATTTCCAGATTTCTTAATTTTTTCTATACTGTAGATGGAGTTTTGAGCCCATGGGTTGTGTTGATCATACCTATTTTACTAACATCGATTTATTTTCCTTGGACAAACTGGTCAAGCGGTAATAAAGAAGTCGTTAAGCAATGGATGATGAAGAAATTTTTAAATGGAAATGAAAAGAAACCTCCGCCTCATTCTGACCCGAAGGTGATCTGAAATTTTAAAGAATGCAGCCAAATATATCTGAACATATTATATCAGTTTCCTAAAGAAATATTCTTTATTTATTTGTTTATTTCAGGAAAAACTTGAACATTCGCTATGTGTCGTTAATTTTGGATGTGGATCTGATAAACAGAAATATGTTCATTTGGCCTCTGATTTGATGGGCTCTGGGTTCTCTCTACAAATGAAGAAAGTGGTGGTCAATTCTACAGAAAGCCTGGAAACTCTACCCCCATCAAAGGTTGATTTTTTTTCTGAATTTAGTATTTCTTTCATCAAATTTATGCATTTAGTCAAAACGTGTACTAATCAATACAAATAACTTTAAGTTTTAGAAAAAAATGTGCCTTTATTCATCTTTTAAATGGAAGTTGTAATTATTTAGGTGATACTTATGTTTGTGGATTACAACGAAAGAAATCTAATCATAGAAGAAGAACATGGAGGTCTGAAAAGAAAGACTCTATCTATGTTGCAAAAGACTGGTGGTATGTTTTTATTTACTAAAACATTAAAATCTTTTTTGTAAAATAAACTGACGAACATAATCAACTCAATAATCCGTTTCATAAATTACTCTTTTCAGCTGAAGTGACTGTCGTTTACTGCTATGAACTTTCTTCTAAACATCTTGATGAAGGACGCCTGTTTGCTCAGAAGTTGACTGTAATTGATAGAATGAAAGAACTCAGAGAACTTCGTGAAAGGAACTCAATATTTAGTATCTACGATAAATTCAACCCAACACAGAAAGAAGTCTTCCGTTCTAAGCTGAATAATTTTAATTAGCTATTCTAATTATACGTTTACGTAAAATATATGGAGATAACGAACAGTATTCAAGATCAGAAGTCCATTAAACATTACAAAATAGGTGCAGAGCAAACACGGACCTCCAAAACATCAGAGGTGGGATCAGGTGCCATGGAGGAGTGAGCATCCCTTGCCGACCGGTCACACCCGCCGTGTGCTCCTTGTCATGATCGGGAAATAACGGAAAAATCCGTCGACAATTCAGTGTGTAATTGTATTTGCTGACAAGGTCATTGTATCGACCATAAAACTTACGAAATGATGACTTTAAACGAGACTGCTGATATTCTTGTTTCATCAACTTGTTTGTCAATAATTTACCTCGTTTTAGAAATTGTACATACGTAGAGCATGCTCTTGCGTACCGAATGATATCGTATATGATTCATTAAAAATCCATTCCCATTAAAGTAGGATCGGGCTTTCAAAAATTTCTGTCAATCAGATATTTTGTTTTCATTTAAATACCTTAAATGACTTATAAGCTAATAAAAAAACATGTAAGACATACCCTACCATGCTTATTTTCATGCAAGGTGTCTAGGAGTACAATAATTAAACAACCAAATTTTAACGGAGAGAAGTATGATCTCATGTTTTATTAAGATATGCTCCAAAACATATCACATTAGATTTATAACTTATGAAAATCTAAATTATTCAATTGGTAAAAGAATCAATGAAGATTTTAAATGTAAAATATTATAAAATTCATGTTTCAGTTGCTCACGTTCTCTTGATAAGAAAAAAAAATCACAAAATATCATAATTTTGAAAAATTTGGAAAAATCAAATTGTTTACATGTAATTGATTTACATACATTTTTTTATTTAAAATATTTAGAGTTATATCGAAGGTAAACAAAAACGCATGTTTTAACATGGTTTATCAGTTAGATAACAATAAAAATAACAGTCTCGTGAACATGTATACCCCCAAATTTGGTGACATAAAGTTTTACAGTAATTCTTTGCAAATTTTGAAAGTAGTATTAACTGAAAGTAGCGGATACTGCCTTAGAATCAAGAAACATATAGCACAGGATAGTTTGTATAAAAATACTGAAATTTGGTCCTTCTTGCAACAGGCACTTAGAAAACTGGGGGTATGAGCTGACCCCTCCTTTTCTTCTCATGTTATTTATTATGTGTGTGTGCGTGTACTTTATATTTTGCTTAATGTTCCATTTTATGTCCACTGAAAATGAAACCAGAGGAAAGTATAGGTTCCTCTCCGTTGGTCTTTGTATCTGTCTGCACAGCTGGATGCATGCATTACTAGTACATGAATTTATAGAGACCATACTTGCCGTGGTTACATTTCGATGCAAGGCTTTACCTACTTTCTCTAGTCTTTGAAACCGAAGGATGTGCATTGCTTAGAAAACATGCCTTTTTGATCGCTGCATTCGTTTAATGTTAATAATCGTCAGAAAAAAATAATAATAATGTGTCTTTGGATAATTCGATAAGTGAAGTGATAACTGGAAGTTTATAGTCAATGTATAAAATTAAAACAGGATACGTAAAACAAAGGACTTTCACTAGAACAACAGACATTAATAATTTTTTTTTTAATAAACGTAGTTTGAAAAACTTCTAATGCAACGTGAGGTGTTTTGAGAAAATAAAGATGGCGCGGAAAAAACTTGTCTATCGCGTTAGTATATACATACTAGGTTTCGTTCAAGATCGTAGCAGCTAACCTAGCAGCTAGGTGTTAGATATATATCTCAGCTAGCCTGGCCGCTAAATGTTAGATTTTGGATTTAAAAGAATTCTGTAAAAACTCATTTTTGGAACAAAAAAAGTTTATTTGAAGCGAAAATATATATGTAAATTTACATTTAATTCGATAAGATACAGAAGATATAATCCTTCTTTTAATTAAAATATTGTGTGATGCCAAATTGTAACTAAGGAGGCCATCTTGGATTTGGCACTTAGCATCAAATATTTATGTTAGCTCTTCCTACGCAGCAGCTAGGCTAGCTTTACGTTCAAGATCGTAGTTTTATGTAAAGGCTACATAGCCATTACGCTCTTGAACGCACCCCAGAACATCCGTAGTTAAACATGGCAGACCGAGTGACTGGTTCGCGGCGATACAGACAGGAAGTATCGGGGATTAAGCCTGTCCCACTCCAACTTTCCAAACATGGAAATTAGACAATTTCCTTTTTTTCTTGTCAAAGTTTTAAAGTTTTCAAATATTTTCCTACCCCCTTTTTAAAAACGATATTACCTGCGATAAATATCAGCGAGTTGGAGTTGCTCGCAGATAGTTCTCGCACACGTGCAAAATTTGGTTTACCAAAATACGTGTATCAATATATAAGAAATCAACACTATAAAAAGAAAAAGCTTTTTTTTTTAGTTTTGTGTCTTTTCGATGCTACATAAATCTGAGCTGCGATTACACCACCATTTTATGAAACTCTTAACTATATTTGAACAAGCTTTAATCCTTTCCATGGAACTCAGTTATTACATCAATTTTTTAACTGATCCTAATTTGGATTCCAAACGCTTGGGGAGGAGTAACAACACATATCAGTCCTTCCCTTTTTTATTTTAAAAGCCCTTTTTATTCATGTCTTCTTATTCAAAAATGTTATTTACGTTCAAATTTACTGAATTAGTGATACATGTATATGTACTATCCTGATTATACTTTGGCGTCTTTTTTTAATTTGATGTCAATTAAAAAAATGTAATTATATCAATATATTGTTTTTGTTGATGTCTCGAATTCTTTTTTTTTTTTTTAATTCACTTTATCATAAGTTAATTTTTTTTAATGTTACATGTATAGTCTTTATGCAGGTTTTTTTTTTAGATTTATTGCTAAAATTTTCCTTTTTGGTTTGTTAAAACCATTGACCCTGCCTTTTTGTACTGAATTGTGGAAATTAAAAAAATGTTCGTTCTTTGCAAAAGCTTAAAAAAATAACAACAACACAACTTTCTTTCGATGTCCCGAATTATTTACCTAGTCTCTGTGTTTTTATTTTTCATTTAACTACTCACAAGTTTTACTGAGAATCCTCATTAGTAGATATATGTTTATTGAACACGTGTTACACGTTGACGTATCACGTTTCAACTTTATCGACAAAGCTTTGGATGTTTTTAATTGAAGAGGGCAACTTACCGACGGTTTTATTCTGATATCCATAAAAGTTTGTGTTTATTTTACGTTAGTAATGTATATGGAAAATATCGATCAATGCTTTACAGCAAACATCAGTACATGCACATTTTCAAATAAAACGCATGTACTTTTAGTCGTGGCATATAAGATATACATATTTAATAATTCAATCCCATTATACTCTTTTAAAATACAGTATCCAGGATTTGTGTGTAATAAAAGTCATTACGTGTATCCAATTTTTATCTCCAATTCATAATATTACGAACGTAATTTGTAGTTACATATCGGATGAAAAGAAAGGAGAAAACTAAGCCAAATTCAATGTGCCAGATACGTTTGACAAACAAAATATAAAAAAGCACGATTTTTAAAAAGGATGCAAACAAACTGTCTTAGAAAGGACTCGATGTTAACAATGCCTATACATACTTTTCTGTACTCTGTCACCAAAAAAAAAAACCCACTTGTAATGCTCTGCTTGATTCTTTGTTATTTTTACATGGTATTCTGTTCACTGTATACAAGAGCATCAGTTTTTGGTTACAGTTGTATGGAGCGGACAATATTTTACCGAATCATACAATGACCCTAAACCCTCAGATTAAATAAAGTGCTCTTTCTAAAGTCAATTTCTATTAGATTAACTCTGTTCGATGATTTCGTTAATTTAATCCTAGCATCAAACTAAATTTTATAAATAAACTGTAAATTTATGCTTGGAAGTATATGAGTTATTTTTGCTATCTGTTAAAGTCACTGCATTCCAGTTACCAGGATGTTTTTTTGAAGCTGAAGAAATGTAAAAAGATTCCCAGGGTATTTAAGAGAGGCTAGTAGCTATACATCTACAACTACGCCTTCTCAACAGTTAACCATGCTATCTTTTTTAAAATGATAAAGCAACTGTCATGAAGCCCAAATAGTTCATATTGAATTTGAGATGAGATAAATCATCTCTTTGATTGTGACACCTGTTCTGGATTCACAGTAGTAAAATTCATTAGAATATGTCAACCATATTTCTATATTAGTAATCTATTTAATTTATAAGCTACTATATGGTTTTTCAATAAAACCTTATCTTATATAATTTAGCTATATTGTCGTATAGCTAAAACAGATCACTGTATTCATTTGAATAAAAGACTAAAGATGTAATGCTATGTTTTTCATTGAATAGTATTCAATAACTCTTCATTCTGTTTAATAATATCTCTTAAATATCTTAATATTATTTTAAACACGTATTAGAAGGTTGTGCCCTCATTGACAATGTTAAAGTGTGCAAAATTAGAAATCCCTATTTATAGCAAGGTGAAGGCATGTGCATTTCTACAGAGAAGTTCATTAATTAACATATTGACTTGGAATTTCCTCCTCAAGGCATTTCGAAATTTTTGCCATCAAACAGATCAAACAAGTCATATCTGGTTTTCCTATTCACTCTAAGGCTTGTTAAATATTTCTAGTTCTCTTGCTTACTTTTCACTTCGAATATGAACATGTGTAAAGTATATTCAATTATCCTTTTATTTTCCGCACCTAATGTCTTTCCAAGCCCTTTATTTCCTGGATTGACCCGTAACAACGGTAAGATATGCTTTTTTCATATAATTGTTTATTGTTACTTTTTTTTTATATTACATTCATACATAATTCGTATTATCATCATTCCTTCATTTACATTATTTATTGCTGATTGTATCACCTTCCCAATTAATAATACCTCAAAGTAATTTAACATCAAAGTTAACATTAAAACTAATACCTTTTATTTCTTATTTGTGCATACATCAATATAGTCACGTCTTTTATATTTATTTGAAATTTGTTTTTGAGAGCAATGCAAGGTACAT